ATTTAAAGTTTTTTTAGAAATAGACATAAAATGTTACAGATTTTATTTTTCATTTTATTTTTAAATCAGCTTTTTTTTTAACATTAGCATTCTTGATATCAAAAGTAATTTTATTTCCCGGTCTCTACTAAGGGAATTTTTCTTTTTGGTTAGACAAATGTCTATGTATTTAACTAATTCATTTTTATATTTATATAAAGTAAGAGTTCAAAAAGAATAGCAAGAGGATTCTTAGCTTTTGTAATTGTCCACACCTTTGTGTTAAACCAGAGAAGAAAATGCTGTATGTTGATTTAATTTTCAATTTAGATTTAGCAGTAATGGGATTCCCAGTAGATTTTTCAAAAATGAATCATGGTACTTTAACTCAGAGAGACTTCCATATGAGTTTGCCAAAGCTGTTCAAGCACTGGGGGCTTAGTGCCTGAGCATCTCTGAAGCCTGTGGACAAAGCCTGCTCATTGTTCTGCCCCAGCCAAGGAGCTGCAATATGATCCGGGAGGCACAGAACCAATATTGTGTTCATTTGGACCTCTACTTGGAACATCATTACCACACCTCAGTTGATGTTGGTCCAGGATACTCGTTTGTAATGCTCCCAACTCTTGTGAAAATCCTGAGACTTTTAATTGCTACGAAGAACTCATATTCCATGACTCACTCCAAAGATTGCACCACTTGGCTCACCTGAGCCCTGTACATTTTCCTTGTGTTTTTGTAGTGCTTTGTACACCTCTGCTGCATTAGAAGTTTTTGTCCAAAAAGGATGGAGAGAAACTTTTATGCAGAGGATGCCTCATGTTGGCAGAACATAATAGGTCTTGGGGTTGGATGGGTGATCATAGAGAATTCTTTATAGGGAAATATTCAATTATTCTAGCTGGCAGTGATCAGATATCTGCTTGGAAGAAAAGTTTGCATTTATCAATCAATAATGGTTGTTTTGGCTGGAGGAGTAGTTTAAAAGTAGAGTGCTTGCCTAGTGTGCACAAGACCTTGGGTTGGTACCCAGTAGTGCGGGGGGGCGGCGGGAAGAGAGAAAGAAGAGGGCTGTTCGGGAGGGGTTTGTGTGTATTTTGAAGTTCTGTTGTTAGGTGGATCTGCATTTAGGATTGTTAAGGCTCCTTGCTGAATCGACTTCTTTGTTATTTTGCTATGTTCCTTTTTTATTCCTGGGAATGTCCCTGGTTCCTTAGTCTGTTTTGTCTGATATTAATGTAGCCATTCTAGTTTTCTTTTAATGTTCACAATGTATATATTCTTCTATTCTTTTAATATATATATTTTTATCTGTAAATTGAGTTTTAAAAAACTGTATGTAGTTGGGTCATGTTTGTTTTTATTTAATTTTATTTTTTAAGTTGTTGATAGACCTTTATTTATTTCTTTATACGTGGTGCTTAGAATCAAACCCAGTGCCTCACACATGCCAGGCAAGTGCGCTACCGGTGAGCCACAACCCCAGCCCCTAATTGAATATTTCTATGATTTACTTTATCAACACTTTTGGTTGGTTTATTTATTTATTCGGTTGGTTAGTTAGTTTTTTGTTTCTTGATACCAGGGATTGAACCTAGGGGTGCTCAACCCCTAAGCCACATCCCCAGTCCTTTTAATTTTTATTTTGAGACAAGGTCTCACTAAGTTGCTGAGGTATACACTTTTGGTTGATTGTTTATCTCTCTCTCTCTCTCGGTTTTTTTTTAAGTTGGCTATGACATATGGTTGATACTTTTCCCTATTATTATTATTATTATTGGTTGTAGATGGTCACAATACTTTTATTTATTTTTATGTGCTGCTGAGGTTTGAACCCAGTGCCTCACACATGTTAGGCAAGTGCTCTACCACTGAGCTACAGCCCCATCCCTGATTGTTTATCTCTTAAAATGATTTTAGTGATTGTCCAATAGTTTACAATATACATCTTTTCAATCTGCCTTCAAATATTACATTGCTTCACATGTAGTGTAAGGAATTTTGAGCAGTATACTCTCAATTCATTTGTCCCATTATTGTGAGTGTGTTTGTTGCTGGTGATTGAATAAAGGACCTCACACATGCTAAGTAAGTTCCCTATCACTGTAGCTATACCTATTCTATGTGTAATTGTTGTCATACATTTTACTTGTGTGTGTGTGTGTGTGTGTGTGTGTGTGTGGCACTGAATATTGAACTGAGCAGCACTCTATGACTGAGCTATATCACTAGCTCTTTTTATTTTTTATTTTGAGACACTGAGTTGCCCAGGCTGGGCTCAAATTTCTGATCCTCCTGTCTCAGCCTCCCAAATAGCTGAAATTATAGGTGTATGCTACCACACCTGGTGCATTTTGTTTTATATATGATATTAAACACATCACACATTGCTATAATGCTGGTGTAGACTATCAGTAGTATTTGAGAGAATTTAAAAATAAGAAAAATGGATTTTGAATTTTATATTTACTTTTATATATGCCATTTTAATACTCTTAGTCTCTTTACATAAAGTTTTTGTTCCGTATTAAAATTCTTCTGCCTGAAAGATTTCAACAGTTCTTATGTTGAAGGCTTGCTAGTAATCAGTTTCATTTGTCTGAAAAAGTTTTATTTTCCCTTTATTTTTGAAAGGTGTTTTTACTGGGTATGGAATTCTGGGTTGGTAGTTTGTTGTTTTCCCAGCCCTTCAGCAGTACCACTCCATTTCCTTCTGGCTTGCATAGTTTGAGATGAGAAATGTGTATGATGTGTTTCCACCCTCACCCTCCCACCCAGCAGCCACAGCCTTTGAGATTTTCTGATTGTTTTGGTTTTCAGAAGTTTGAGTACAGTGTGTCTTAAGTGTTTTGTTTTATTTTACTTTTTTTTAATATTTATCCTTCTTGGTGTTTCCTGAGCATCTTGGGTCGATGGTTTAGTCTTTCATTAATTTTGGAGAGTTTTTGGACATTATCTATTTAAATATTTCTTCTGTCTTATTCCGATTACATGTACTAGAGACTATTTGATATCCTACAGTTCTTCAGACTTCTGTGGAATTCATTCTTCAGGCTCACCTCTTAGTTCATTTTGTGATGTTATAACAGAATAACTGAGACTGTAATTTACAAAGAACAGAGATTTATTTCTTACAGTCTAGAAGCAGGGAAGTCCAAGGTCAAGGGGTTTGCATCTGGCGAAGACCTCTTCGCTTCATCATCTTGTGGCAGAAGGCAAAAGGTAAAAGAATATGTGACTCAAACCCTTTGATAAACAGCATTAATCCATTCATGAGGGCTGAGCCCTCAAAACCTTAACACTTTTCATTAGGTTCTACCTCAGCACTGTTGGGTTGGGGATCAAGTTCAAACACATGGTTTTTGGGGAACATATTAAATTCATAGCACTCTTAGTGTATTAGTTTGGGTGATTTTTAGTTACCTATATCCAAATACACTGTTTCTTTCCTCAGCTGTGTTGAATCTATTATGAGCCTATAAAAGGCATTCTTCAACTCTGTTACTGTTTTTCAATTCTAACATTTCCATTTGACTCTTTAGTTTACAACTCTCTGATGAAAATTTCCATCTCTGTACATTTTGTTCATCTTTTCACTAAAGTCTTTAACATATTAATAAATTATTTTAACCTTCTTTCTAATAGGTCTAATATCTGGGTCATATCTGAATCTGGTTCTCTAGATTATTTTGTCTCTTGATAGCTTATTGTCTTTTTACTTTCTTGTGCCTCTCATGATTACATTTTGAAAGCTACAAATTTGTTTGAAAATGTGGACACTAAGGCAAGTAGTATATTTCTGTTTTTTTTTCCCTAGGTCTTAATGTAGGTATTTCATTACTGGGTTTTTCTAGATCTTTACTGAGAGCATTGGGTTAATTAAAGATTTGAGTCATTCTTTGGATTTTTCTGTTGTGGCTACCCTCAGTACATCACAGATGTCAGAATTTTCTCGTGTTACTTTGTTTTTAGGGTAGGTATTAGATTGCCAGAGTGTTTTTCTCCATACTTCTATTCACCCTCAGCTTTAGACTTGAGTCTATGCATCGGAGAGGTTCTAGCTCTGCCTTTCCCCAACCCACCCCAGCTCTAGACTGTTGTTATTTGCTATGTGGTACTTGCTAGCCTGAAATGAGGAGAGGACATTCTCTTGTACTGGGTCAACTCAGTCTTGGGCAAGTGCTGTATCCCTGTGTCTCAGGATAAATAGGGCTTTCTTGATGATCCCTCTCCTCTCACATGGTGGAAGATTCACAGTATCTGGGCCCAGGACATTTCCAGCTTCTCTGTAAGGGCACAGTTTTTCCATGCCCTAGTATGCAGTTGGTCTCACCCAATACTCTTTGGTTGACAGAGTGGCAATCCTTTCCCCAGTGGTTAAGGATGCTGTTCTATAAAGGAGGTGGGGAGAAGGATCTGGGCGAGGTTTCTGTCTTTTTTGTGGTGATGTCCCTTCTCTCTTCAGACTTCAGCTGTGAGAGGGCTTTGTCTAGTCTTGCACCTGCACTCCTTCCTTCAGTGAGCATTTGGTGAGCTCTCTAGAAAAGAGTCTGCAAGTGGGTACAAATTCCCCTTGTTTTGTCATCCCCCACCCGCCCCAGGGACTCTGTGTTCTCATGCTAGTCCACACACTAGGTTTTTAGCAATTCATTACCTTTTTTAATGGAGTCTTCTCACTAACTTGTGTGGGTAGGTCCTGGAGTCTGTCCCAGGTAAACAGATGCTGCATCACTCTCTCTTTGGAGGAGCCTGTCTTTCCTTATGTTGCAGGTTAGTTGGTTACCCTGTGACCTCAGTTATCTGGTGGCTTCTAGGAAGGCTAAGATTTTATAGATTATACAGATTTTCTTTGTTTTAAGGCTGGGAAATACAGTCTTTGCAGCTTCCTACATCTCTGGGAATGTTTTTACTTACTGCCTTTTCAGGGTCTGAGATTTGAGTATTGCTGCTTCATTTGGGTGCAGTTAAATACTGATTCTCAAATGAACTAGCATTAAAAACATGACTTTATGTCCTTGCAGAAACTTGGGGACTGTGGCAGCCGTGGAGCCAATGTAGCACTACATGTGGGGATGGTGTCAGAGAACGTCGCCGAGTATGTCTCACTTCCTTCCCCTCCAGACCTGGCTGCCCTGGAGTGTCCTCGGAGGCCTCCTCATGTTCCCTGGAGGAGTGTGCTGGTAGGTACTCTTGCTCCCTTGGGAGTCTTCTCAGAGCCTTCATCAGAGGGAATATTGAACCCAGAATGGCCTGAGAACCAGCATTCTGAGTTCAGGAGCAGACTGGTGCATGCTCTGTGATGCCACTGATTCTAATGCTGTATTCATTAGAGTATCTAAGACTGGGAGTGGCTGGAAAATAACTTGACAGTGAGATGATGGATTTGACACTGTGTAAGAGGGACTTGACAAGGAAATATGTCTAAAGATTCAGACTAATAAATATTTTTTTAAATACAACAAATAAATAATTAATTTTTTTAAATCCAGGGGAGAAGTGTTATTTCTTCCTAACATTTTTGGTTGCTGATATTTCTCCCTCTGCTTTAACCCACAAAACTGTGGGGAAAAAATTTCCCCTAATTTTTTTTCCCTTCAGCAACCCAGAGAAGCCCAAGGGGACCACATAGACCATTAGTTGTCAAAGTGGGGCAAGATAGCCTGTCTTTACCTCCACATGATCTAAGTTTGTTACCAGGAGGTAGGGACATTTTTTTGCCATCACCTGGAGACTGGCCTTTGCCACATTTCCTCAGTGTCTTCTAGGTGCTCCATGAGTTTTTGGTGGGAGTGGTCATGATGCTCACATGGCTCGGTTAGGTTTGCTTCAGCTTTTGGAGCTGAATCCTGTCTATTTGCCACGATTATGGTTACAGTGATGAATAATCCTTGCTCTTCCCACACACAAAGCCACTCCCCGACGGGCAACTCCTGCTGAGTTCATTGGCCTTTTACTCTGGTCCTGACCCTTAAGATAAAATCCCTCTGTCAAATCTGCCATTCGTTCTCCAATCCCAGATTCAAAGACCATCCTTACTTAGTTCCTTAGCTCTTTGGAATCTTGAGGAGTTAGGTGCTTGTCTTTGTCTGGATCTTAGAGTACCTTTTAGTCCAAACCACAGATACCTGGCAATGTTTCAACCATTGTTACTGCCTGTGGCCTTAGAAAATCCTTGCTGTTTCGTCTTTGTGGCCAGTACCAGAGGCCTTATTCTGTTCATTCCAGCACCTCCAGAGCGTTATTCTCTCTTCTGACTTTTTCTTACTGTGGCTTCAAGTCCAGGCTCATTTCCCAGCCCTCCCAGCCTGTCTTCTTTGACAGGAAGACAGGGCCCCGCTCTGAACCCATTCTTTCTTCAGCTCTGTCTCCTACAGTTTTCAGATCTCTTAGCCCTGTCAACTTATTTCTTTATAAGTCCTCTTCACTTTCCATAGCTCCTTCCTTGTATATAACTTTCTTTAAATATACCTCATCTTCTTAATTCTTGGATGGAGCATCGCATTAAGAGAGTCCACCCAGAGTTCCATAATACTCACGTGACTTTAATATCAGCCATTTATTGAACACCCGCTGTGTGTCAACACTTTAAATACATTATTGCACTTAAGCCTCACATTCATTCTTCCAGGTAGATATTATTATGCTGGGCTCAGATCTTGAAAGCATACTGCCTGCTGGGCATTTTTCTAAGTACCTTACACGTAAGAAGTAGTTACAGCTGGCCCTCTGTATTTGCAGAATAGGAAAAAGAGAAGGCTTGGAAGTTCTGCATCTGTGGATTCAACCAACCATGGATGGAAAATATTCAGGAAAAAATTGCATCTGCGTTGAACATGTACAGATTTTTTTCCCTTTCACTATTCTGTAAACAACATAATGAGTTACATAGCATTGACATTGCATGAGATATTATAAATAACCTAGAAATTATTTAGATTATATGGGAGAATTGTGTAGTTTCTATGCAAACACTATACCATTTTATAGAAGGGACTTGTGCATCTATGGAGTTCAGCATCCACAGAGGTCCTGGAAGCAGTCCCCAACAGGTATCAAGGGACACTTGTATATTATTATCTCCACATTACAGAGGAAGTGGGGGCATGGAGAAAACAAATAGCCTACCCAAGGTCATAAAGTAAAGAATCAGGAACAAGAGCTGACTCTGCATCAGGCTGCCTATCTTGAATACTTTACCTTTATGTACAGGCCAATCTGGCTTTCTAGAAGAAGCATCAGCAATTGCAATTAGCGATCATCTTTGAGGAAATGTAATCAAATTTCATGTTCTGGCATCTTCCTTAACACTGGGTGGGATCTGGAAATGCATATGTTATTAATTAGCAAGAAGAGTAAGGGTCAAACTTCTACTCTAAGTGGAAATGATCCATAACCTTCCAAGCCTTCTCTTTTTCCCATTTCACCTATTTTCTCCTCCTTGGAAATGCAAAGATCTGTCTGCAGCACCAGGAGATCTTCACTTCGTATGAATGAGGAAAGACTAGATGAGGCAGGGATACAGGAGGCCAGCAACTTTTGCACTTTCTTCCAGCTGTGGTTTTTATAGGAGCCAGCTAACGTCAAAAGATAACAGAGCTGAGAGAGTGGTTCATGATGTGTGATGGCAATGCTGTTGCCCACTGATCAGCAGCCACTGCAGAGGAAATAAATGATAAATTGGGAAACTGTTTTTACTTAGTTGGGAGTTCAGAGTTTTATTTGGCTTTAAAACAATACTTTTAAGCCAAGGACTGGGACCTCTTTGCACTAATTGGGTCTCTCTTGTTCAACAATAGAGTAGGAGGATCCAGTTGCTGTGGTATCCTCAGTCCATCTGGTAGGATATTGATCATCTTGCTATTATTTTTTAAAATATTGAATGAATCAATTAAATGAATGTTTTTATTGAGTATCAGTTGTGACTGGGGTTGGGAATATATTACATATATTAAGAAGATATGGCCGGGGATATAGCTCAGTTGGTAGAGTCCTTGCCTTGCATGCACAAGGCCCTGGGTTCAATCCCCAGCACTACCAAAAAAAAAAAAAAAAAGTTCTTTTGGGGCTGGGGTTGTGGCTCAGTGGTAGAGTGTGCACCTTGCACGTTTGAGGCACTGGGTTTGATCCTCAGCACCACATAAAAATAAATAAAGGTATTGTGTCCATCTACAACTAAAAATATATATATATAAAATTTTATTTATATATATGTAAAAAGAAGATATGTCCTTTTCTTGAGGGGAGCTTAGGATATAGTGGCTCAGAAGGTACATAAACAGGCATAATACACAGGACAGCGTAGGGCCTGCAATCATAAAGGCATCCAAAGCCTGCTGCAGAAACTAGCAGGGATGATAATCCATGCTGGGAACATTTCCTTTCTTGGAGCAGGTGATATTTAAGCTGGCCTTTGAGAGCTGAGAAGGTGCCATCCAGTTAAACGAGGTAAGCAAGGGAGTTTTAGCAAAGGGAGCAATGCATGAAGGCAGGGAAGAAGATGGCACAGTAAGAGACCTTGGGAGCTACAAACAATTTACTGTGGCTGGCGGATGGTGTGTGGGGAGGGGATGGGAAAAACGAGGCTGGAAAATCAGGGGCAGATCCTCACAGGTCCTAAAGGTTTGGGCCTGCATTTTAGAGGGCTCCCTCTGCCTGTGGCACAGAATACAGATCAGAAGGGTAGGCGTGGCAGAGAGGTGCCTGATAAGAGATTTTCAGTAACCCACATGAAACATGAAACACTGGCAGTGGGAATAGAGGAAGAAGAGGATGCATCGACTCTGGATGTGGCAAGGGATGGAGAGACAGGGATGAAAGATGAAAATCAGGATAGTAAGAGTAGCCACTGCGTGGACTGTGGTGCCGTTCCCTTGAGACTGGGTATAATGAGTGAGAGGGGCAAATGTACCAGTGAGCTGTGAAGGTTGAGGTTTCAGGGGAGGGGGCTGCAGACACTGGAAGGTACTGTGTATGGTGGGATGGACCTTGGAGTAGCCCGAATGGTCCTAGCTCTAGGCTGGGGCCCAGGTGCTAGAGTGACTGTTGGCTGTCAGAAGGTTGGGAAATGACAGCAGAATGAAGGATGGTTTAGGTGAATGGCCTGCACAGCAAAGGAATAGAGGTTTCATGTGGAAGTGGAGGAGTGCTAGATGAACTTGTCAACCAGGAATGCCATTTAGAGACACACCCTGCTGCTGGCTCTGTTTGCTTATAAAGAAGCAATGACTCCCACCGGAGAGGCTTGGAGGAAGCTGTGTGCTGTGGGATCGCCAGGCCTCAGGTCAGGCCAGGAGACCAGGGACTGTTTTGTGGAAAGGTGGAGGTGATGAGTTAGTGTCCCATGGGTGCAATAGAAAGCCACAGGGGTACAGCAGGAACAGGAATTCAGGAGACAAAGCACAGAGTCTATGGTGACGAGGGTCTGGGGGAAAAAAGTTGGGAGAGGTGTCTGGAAGGGCTTGAATGGTAGGCAGTGCCCTAGGATGAAAGAGGTGAGTTCACTGGGTCTCAGTCTCCAGGTGTTGTGTGGCATTTGAGGCTCCAGGTGGCATCTGCATCTTTTCCCCCCCACATTTCTTATTGGTGCATTGTAGTTGTGCGTAAGGATGAGATTTGTTGTTACATATTTGTACATGCACACAACATAACAATATAATTTGGCAATATCCCTCCCCAGCCCTATCCCCCCCCTCTTCCCTGCCTCCCACCCCTTGGCCACTTTTTACTGATCCCCCTTTGAGTTTCATGGGATCCAACTCCACCTTCCTTTTCTTTTTCCTCTCTAGCTTCCACATATGAGAAAACATATGACCCTTGATCCTGTAAGTTGGACTTATTTCTCTAGCTTCATCTATTTTCCTGCAAATGCCATAATTCCATTTTTATTTATGGCTGAATAAAATTCCATTGAGTATATATAGGCATTGGCATCTTGATAAAAAGTTTTGAGGCTGTGGGACAAAGTGTCTTGAGAAAGCAGGGAAGATGATGAGAAGCCAGTGCCACCTGGAAGGTGGGAAGAGGGGTGGAGAGCTGAAAACAGAGGGTGAGACAGCACAGGGTTCCATACTTAGAAAGACGCCTTCTGGGTACTAAAAGGGGGAAAAGTGAACCGTATTATATTGTTGACAGTTTTATTTCCATCAATTAATTTAATGTGAAAGTTTGTTTATAACCTATCTAAATGGTTTTGTGTTTTGAGTCTTGGTATTTTCCCACGAGCCTCTCACAGTACCTGTAACTACAGATGTCCTGTGTTTACATCATTGTAAAGGAAAACCTTGATTTTTTTTTTTTTTTTTGCCTTGACGTTTTCTACACACTGCTTCTGTGTAGAAAATGGGTGGCGTCTCAGCAGGAGCTGGTGAGCACAGGAGTCTCTTTGATTGTGGCTTTCCTGCGTGTGGGTCCCTAGTTTTGCAGCTCTTCCTCTTTCCTGGTGACCTTGTTTGGCTTCAGCTTTCAGCAGAGATCCGGCAGAATAGAAATCCCAATGCCTGTCCCTTTTCCGCCTCCCTTTTACTGCTCTGATTATTAAAACAAGCAACTCAGAGATCTTAGAACCATATAGAGAATTCATTTGTTCTTCCTCTTTTTGTAGCTTTCCGGCCAGCCAGCTCATCTCCCCTTCCACCCCAGGGTCCGGCAAAGTCCAACAACATCGTGACTGTCACTGGGATATCCCTGTGCCTCTTCATCATCATTGCCACCGTCCTCATCACTCTGTGGAGGAGGTTTGGCCGGTCCCCCAAATGCAGCACCCCGGCTCGACACAACTCCCTCCATTCCCCCAGCTTCCGGAAGAACTCGGACGAGGAGAACATCTGCGAGCTGAGCGAACAGCGGGGAAGCTTCTCGGATGGGGGTGATGGGCCTGGGGGGAGCCCAGGGGACACGGGTATCCCTCTGACCTACAGGCGCAGTGTGCAGGTGACTCCTGAGGACGACGCCTCTGGCAGCGAGAGCTTTCAGTCCAATGCACAGAAGATAATCCCCCCTCTGTTCAGCTACCGCCTTGCCCAGCAGCAGCTGAAGGAGATGAAGAAGAAAGGACTGACAGAGACCACCAAAGTGTACCATGTGTCTCAGAGTCCCCTGACAGACACCGCCATAGACTCTGCGGCCGGTCCCCCCTTAGACTTGGAAAGCCCAGAAGAAGCTGCAGCAAGTAAGTTCCGGATCAAGTCTCCATTTCTGGACCAGCCTGTGGGGCTGGGGAGTGGCGGGGAAAGGCCTCCCTCCAGGCTGGATTTCAACATGTCTCCGGCCAGTTGTGCCATCAGCCCCAGCCAGACTCTGATCCGCAAGTCCCAGTTGAGGCACACGAGTGGCAGAGGGGCCTCATCAGAAAGGAGCCACCCCAGGAATTCCCATTTCAGGAGGACGGCTAGTTTTCATGAGACCAAGCAACCCCGGCCATTCCGGGAGAGGAGCATGTCCACTCTGACTCCACGGCAGGCCCCCACCTACAGTTCTAGGATGCGTACCTGGGACCAAGCAGAGGACAGGTTTAGGCCTCCGAGTCGAGGTGCTCACCTGGTTCCTGAGACACTGGAGCATTTCCAAGGAGCAGGTGGAATCAGTGGTCCATTGAGCCCTCTCCCTAAACCCTACACCATGGGGCAACCTGTGAGGAAACCAGACCTGGGGGATCGCCAGGCAGGACTAGTGGCAGGAGTTGAGAGAACAGAGCCCCACAGAGCTCGGAGAGGACCATCCCCCAGTCACAGGAGTGTCTCAAGGAAGCAGTCTTCCCCCACGTCTCCCAAAGATAGTTACCAGAGGGTCAGTCCACTGAGCCCTTCTCAATGTAGGAAAGACAAGTGTCAGAGCTTCCCGGCCCAGCCTGAGTTTGCCTTCTATGACAACACATCTTTTGGCCTCACTGAGGCTGAGCAAAGGATGCTGGACCTCCCTGGATATTTTGGCTCAAACGAAGAGGATGAAACCACCAGTACCCTTAGTGTGGAAAAGCTGGTAATCTAGGTCAAGAATCTGCCTGAGACTTCACACAACAGGCGTCCTTCACCCAGGTTGCACTATCAACTGCTCCCGTAGCTCCGTGGACTATTTTGTGTAACGGTTCTTGAGGCAGAATGTGGGGAGGGAGTTGCTCACACAGAGGGGAGACACGTGCATATGCATGTGTTTTAATTCATAAGGAAGAAGTTATTGATCCTGAACTTTTCCTTTTGCTACCCTATTTCTATTGGCTTATTACTAATAGCAATAATAAAATTTACACTAAAGCAAATAGAACGTGGCCTGTCATGTGGATATGAAAGACCACGAGATGTGCCTTGAGCATGATGTTCTTTGAACACTGCACTGGAAGTTTCCTGGCTTGAAGCAGATCTCTAGAAGCCTTAACTCATCAGTGCCAGAGTAAAGTTAGCTTGGTATCGCAATTTTGAATTGTAATTTTTCAAGTTATAAACATATAAGCATTGGCTCCTGCAGGAGCAACATTGAACAGGTTTTGTATCTGGCTGATTGAGTGAATTATGGTCATTAGACCACCAAGACATGTTGACCCTACAAGATATTCCAGAAGAACTTGCAGGAAAGATTTGGGTGACATCTTAACATTTTTTAATGCAATGAAGAGTTCGTATGACTTGACAAAATTATGTGATTTAATCCTGCTTTAGAGAAATGACATAACCATTTGATTGTTTAGGTGGTGTATCAAATAAAGACCTAGCCATCATTGGTCTGGGAAAATAGTAAATATTTCTGAAAGGAAAGCATTGTCTCCTGAGAAAGGATCTGTTGGAAAATGGGCAGCAGGTGCTGACCAGGGACACTGCCTGACAGTAGGGTGCTGGTTGTATGTTCCATAAACTGGAAGCAGAGAATGCATTCAGGTATATAGGAAGCAGGTAGACCAGTTTATGATTTTTTTACAGTTTAAGCTTTTTTTAATTAGAAAAAAATAATAACAAGAGAAAAGAACTCTTTGGAAATTTAGAATCACTTTTTTAATTGGTTATTCCATCTTTCTACCTCATTTTATAGATGAGGAATTTGAGGCAACAAGAGTAATTAACAGGACTGAATAGAAGATAGACTGATCCTTTATCCCAGATGCCATACCCTTTGCACTCTACCATGAGTCTTTGTGTCGTGGGAGAAGAGATGTCTCCAGAGCAGGGTTCGAGAAGTTCCCAGAGAGAAGGCAGAACTTGACTGGACCAGCCTGATTCTTGGCATGCATGATGGGAAAGATTTTCAGCATTTGCCAGACAAAGGCATACACGAGGTTTATTTAGGTACATATTCAAGGGAGAATGCAGGCTATCTCCAGAGGGAAAGACAGCAATCCCTTGTTGTGTATTTTATTTTTCGATAAAAATGGCACAAACGAAGTTTCAATGCAACAAATACAAGAGAAACTTTTAAAACTGGGGTGTTAATATTTCTAGTGGGACGGTGGTTGGAGGCTGGACTAGTCGTGGAGCCAGGGTAGAGTTACACAATTTCTCGCCAGTTTTCCCTGGCGAGAAATTATAATAATAAGTTTATTATTATGCATTTCTCTCATTTTACAAGGGCCTGGGCCAAGAGTGTGTCGTTCAAGAGTTACAATTTTTCCTGAGCACTTTCTGCATCTGGGGATCTCTTTTTATTCTAAATCTCTATCTCATTTGCAAGTCTTCTCCAATAGCAGAACTTCGGGAGATAGCCAGCTTTTTTTTTTTTTTTTTTTTTTTTTGCTGTAAGAGGGTATAAAGTGGCCCTTCTGCTAGCATTTCCCAAAGGATGGAAGTTTTCTGCAGCTTGATGAGATTTAGGACTGGTGGTGCAGCTTGCTTTGTTTGAAAGTAAGGGCTACACCAAAGAACCTAAAGATGGGCCTCTCCTCTGGAAGACTGTCATCAGGTATCCTGTGGGTGCACTTTCTGTCCACCCCTCTCCTGGTGACTAATCAGCAGCCACTGGAGTAGTTGCACTTTCCTTCTTTTTCACAGGGACCTCCCTAATGCCACACCCATCCTGCTGGTTCCTTTTTTTTTTTTTTTTTAGAGCTTATCAGGATGTCAGCCTGCTGGTGAGGTTACAGGGATCAGTGGAATTAGATGGGAAAATTTTTTGAAATGCCAACATTTCAGTTTTAAAAGTTTCTCTCCTATTTGTTGCAATGAAACTTCGTTTGTGCCGTTTTTATTGAAAAATAAAGTGTGGTTTGGAAATGCTTTAATAATAACTCTACCTTTCAGGAATAGGAGGGGTCGATTATTCAGAGCTGTCTGACAGCTGGTATGTGCTGATGCAAAGAAGAGGAAACCAAGCTTTTTAATCTCCATTTTCTTTGTTTATCATACTAGAAAGCTTTGTTCTTTTTCCAAGTTTACAGGCCTGCATGCCAACTTTTGAACACAAAGGGTACGTGGTCACCCGTTCCAGTACTAGGAGAGGTGGAAATTAGAGGGAAACACTATGGACAGAAAACCTTTTCTTTGAAATTATATTATTTTCCAGTATATTCTACATCTAAATTAATAGCGCAGTAAACTAACACCAGTATATAACAATGTGCACCATCTACTGAACTCAGTTTTCTGGGCTTGATCAAGAGTCAATCTCTACATTTTCAAGTTAATCAGTTGACCTATCTATGCCTCTGAGAAAGAGAAAAGAATTTGCTTTAGTGTTCTTTGGATACGTGGTAAATTACATTAGAAATGATCTATTTTGGGCTGGGATTGTGGCTCAGCAGTAGAACGCTTGCCTAGCATGTGCGAGGCCCTGGGTTTATGATTTTGATAATATCTCATGATAGATATGTAACTACATAAAAAAATATTCCATAATATGTAGAGCGGGCAATTTCTGGGTCCTTTTTATCCATACAGGCAGCATATTTAAACTTATAGTATTATGTAAGATTTTATTTCTCTAGGTCATACCAGCTGAGTAATGGTTTGAATAAAAAGAAATAGTTTGGCATAGTTGAAAGGATAAAAATTTAATCCTAGCCCTTCCCTTCCTAGCTGAATGATGGTAAGTCACTTAATCATAGGATCCTGTTTTCTAAATCTAAGGTAATAACAATGTCTACCCTTGATATTGGTTGAAGATGGGGACCTGAACACACATATTTATTTTCTCACTCTCCTAGGACTTAAAATTATAATAAAGAAACATAAAAGGTGTAATGTTGAACACTGTTTAGGGAACAAGAGGGTGATTTGGCAAATTTATGGAAGACAAAGTTCATGGAAGGACACTGAATGGAAGAATTTTAGCTCATTTTTGAGTTGTGCAGTAGATAAGGGAGCCTCCCCATGTGGTAGAACCTTGCAGAGGTTAGGGACACAGAAATTACTGGAATGAACCGAAGACTGATGACAGAGATCTGTCTAGAAAATGGTCATTCTTCATATCCCTCCAATTCTGGTGCCAAGAATCTGTGGAAACTGAGTGTTCAACAGATATAAACAAAACCAACCAACCAGCAAATGTCCAGAGCAATCTCTGACTACTCAGCCTAGATTGAAGCCCGCCAATCAGCAAGCTCCATTCATGTGCTTGGGGCTCCTACTTGCCCTACTTCTTTATCATTCTTCAAAATAACAAATTAAAAGGGCATATAGCTCAGTGGTAGAGGGCCCCTGGATCCAATCTCCAGTAGCCCCCCAAACCAAACCAAAACAACAACAAAAAGAATAACATGACTATTAGAAATCATGAAACATTTGAGGAATGCCTACAGTATGACAAAGATAGAAAAATCAACCCCAGAGAGAATAGACATGAGTCAGAGAATACAAGGGAGTCAAATAAAAACCTTACAAAATTAATTGTCCCTAAAGAGAAGTAAAATGATATTACATCTGTCAAACAAGTCTGAACACAGTGCAAGAGAATAGAAGACCCAGAAAACTGGAAGAAATCCTCAAAAATGAAATAGTCAACAGAGGACTGTAAGATAAATTAGAGGAAATCTCCCAAAATATGGATAAAAATATGTAAAATATGAGGGTATAAAATACATAGAGGATCAATCCAGAGAGGACCCAATAAGAGACTAAAAGGAATTCTTTAAGGAGCAGAGAAGATAGAGGAGAGAAAGATACCAGGAATTACTACAGTGAAAATTACTAGAACTAAAGGAGTAAGCTTTTCCTGAATATTTATTAGTGGGATGGAAGAGATCACACATCATTTAGAGGTTTCAGAACAGGTTTTGTAGGAAATATTCAAAAAGCATTCTGGGAGTGGGGGGATACAAACCTATGCAAGAAACAAAAACCATGTGGGCAGTGGATTTCTCATTAGATACACTAGAAGCAAGAGAATAAAAGGTGTAAAATGATTTTTCAATGTGAGATACCTATCCAAATTACAAGACTCAGAAAGCTCACCTGCCATACAAATTTTTTTTTTATTTTTATTTTTTGTGGTATGGGGCGGGGGGTGGGGTTGAGGGGGGTGGGGTGGGGGATGGAACCAGAGCTTTGTAGCTTTGTGCATGCTAAGCAAGTGCTTACCACTGAACCGCACCCAACCCCCACACACCTCCTTGAGGAGTTATTTAAGCATATACTCCACCAGTAAAACAACAAAGAAACACAAGGAAGCCATGAAATTGAGGAAGCAGATGTGACCCGGAAGATTAGCTCTGTGCTTGACTTAGTCACCACCAGCTGACAGAGGGACAAAAATTGGGGCTCCAGGTAGGAAAGGAATTTCATAGAATATAGAGTTGAAAGAACATGAAGACAAAATGCAGGACAAGGATGAATGAAAATAAGAAAAGCATCTAGGAATTATTTTTAAGAAAGGACTCTATTGAAAAGTCATAAAACAAATGAGAATCAAGCTAAACAAAGAGGTCAATGGCCTTCAAGAAAACACTAGGCAATCCAAACTAAATAAATGAAAACAGAAATAAAAATACACTACCCATGATTTTAAGCAATAGGGCTTCTCAGGGACGCAACACAGTTTTCAGAGAAGGAAAATTCATCATAGCTTCTTAGCTCTGCTGTGAACAAATGTCTTCATAAACATAGTAATGTTAAGATGGCATTGGTTACTGTCTGTTTGATTCAGCCCAAGGACATATCATAGAAAACTTAATTATAGTTGCAGAAGGGAAGGTAGATTTCGCTCATGAAAATCTAAGAGAGTACAGCTTTAAAGAAATATGGAGGCAGAAGAAGAGATGAGCAGTTTAAGAGAAGTACAAGCCCAAATATCCTCCACTCCCAAATAGACAGTCAAAAAATGCTGTCTGTATGTGAAAGA